ATATTATTACCCTAACATTCTCCATGGTCATGACAGGATTGCCAGTGGATGCCACATTAACATTGCCATGTCAAGTAATCCCACACCACCCCCCATGCATGTGGCACAGTTGCCATAAGCGTCCACCATCGCCACATGAATGATGGCCGGGCTGGAGGCGGGAAGGTTTTGTGTCTGAGAGCAGCCCATGCCATGCCGCCCCTCATCTCCATTTCAATTCCAAAGCCTCTCTCCTCCCTTGTCTCCTGTATCGAATAAATCTCCCTATTGTGACATAGACGGATATGTGTGTATGGTGTCTTTCAGGTGTATTATTTTTTCATTTCAGGACAAGCAGGCGCATATTTCAGATGAAATGCGTGCATATATCAATGGTTCACAAAGATGTTTTCTGCTAACTCTGTAGTCAAATGAATAGCTTTAAGACTTTTGGTATGTTGGTTTAATTTAAGATTTTTAAGTATTCTGGGCATATAACAAGCGCTATCACTTGAATTAGTAAGTTCAAGAAGGCCAGATGCCACTGTTGGTAATTGGTGCATCTCTCACAGTATATCATTAAGTCGTTTTTATTCAGTTGTAAATTAGATGAATTTTATTGAATGAATACTTTATTTTCTCGTTTCCCTTTCGTTGTTTTATTTGTTATTTCATTGGCGATTGGACATATTTTCTTACATGGTCTTTTTTTTAAGAGCTTCCTATCATTGCAAGATGGTAAACGAAAAAATAAAAGGTAATATTAATGATAAGTTAAATGATTCCATGTGCAATTCCCGTTTTCCTAAACGACCAAATAATGCCTTATAGAACCCAGAGGATCTTTGCTAATCCCTCGAATATTTAAGGAAAGCCAGATCATCAAAAAGAAAGCCCTTTTTACAACGCCGAGGAGAGATAGACGTTAAATGAAGTTAAATGCAGATTCCCGTTTTCCTCCTCCTCGGCTCCCCAAGTTACCGCCATTTTGTTTTCGCGCTGGCTATTGACTTTCGTTTCCTCATGACTATTTTAGTAAGTTTCGCCCGATCCCAGGGACTAGTGAGGGTATCCCGGCCTCCCTTTCGAACGCCCTTGAGTCCCCTCGCCCTAGGAGAGGGTCGGGAAGGGCGCCCCGGGGACCCAGGCGAGGAGGAAGAGCTGAAACAAAGGATCCTTCGAGACGGGATCCTGCAAGCCTTTCAAAACAAACGGTTTCCTGCAGGACGGAAGGGGACTTGTCTCTCGCCCTCCCTGCCTCTGTTCACTCGGTGTCAGTTCGCGCCCTCGGGACTACAAGGTGGCTGGGCATTCCTGCGGCTTCGGGGGGGAACGGCGTGGCTTAAGGGTGAAGGGTTAAGGGTGTGATAGGAGGAGCAAAGGGGAATATCCTCCTCCTTCGCCTCCTTCGCCGCCTCCTTCGCCTCCTTCCTTCCCTCTCGGCGAATCCTTTGGGGGAAGCATCCTCTAGGACTAGTGCGTGATGTGCTTGACAGTGAGAGAATTTACGAAGGAAATTGATTCCTGAAAGACGTATTAAGTGTGAACTGTTAAGGATATACGATTTTTTTTTTGTGTCCCTTTTTTAAAAGTGGTCCGAAACAGGAAACAGGATGTGGATTGAAACCGAAAGTTGCATCTGTTGATAAGATTGTTGTGCTGGGCTAACAAAGGAAGCTAAGGAAGAAGGAATTAAGGAGGATATTTTGAGTGAGGGAAGCAACATAAACATAAACATAGACATGAGAAAAAAACAAACATAACATTAACAGGTTTAGAACACAACACAGTATCATTATTGATGTAAAATACAACAAGAAAGTAAACAACAGTAACATAACATTAATATAAGATTAGCACTATGTGACATAACATTACATAATATAACATTAAAACATAAACAACATCACATAACATAGCTTAGCACTAAGACAACACCACATAACATAGCTTAGCACTAAGACAACATAATATAAACATATCAATCACAAGCATGACTATGAAATTACAGTTAAACACACAGAAATGTTACTTAGTATTCAGTAGTTATGTTTTGTAGTAGTGTGGGAAGTATTAGATGTTTACTGTGGCTTTTCTTGGTGTTTTGGGAGTTGTTGTTTCCTTTACAAAGTTGGTTTTATTGTAAGATTAGGTGTCAGCATTTATTCCCATTTATAGAAATTTGAGAAAGACTTGGATAAAATTGTTTGTAATTGTATTATATCATTTTATTGGATTTATTTATTAAAGTGTTAGGATTAGTTTGGTTGAGTTGGGTGTTTGCCAAATTGTTTGTATGTTGACATAGTTTTGGTGATTGATAAAGGATAACTTCATTTATTACCAATATGAAGATTTAGTATTGTTTCTATGATGTGAATTAAGGCTTGGAAACAATAATAATATCAGGTATTTTCATTTGCTCTGAACTGGGTTTTGTCCTTTTAAGAAATAACTTACTCAGGTCTATATTGTTTGAAATTGCTTGTGCTACTGTTGGCGCTCCAGCAAAGACCAACAA